TGAAATAATTTCATAACCTATTTAGTTATACATTTAAAAGTCGACACTATTAGTAACTCTTGTTATACCATATAATCGATGATAAAGATCGCTGTCATTGATATGAAATTTTAATGTCATTGATAGTAATTTCCCAGTCAACTACCTAAAATAATTCTACTATAAATAGATTTCCATTTGAACAAGCCCTTAGCTACAAAGCTAACAAAATTACCAATAGTGCCGACTTACTTACGAGCACAGTAAATTTTTCCATTAGGGCAATAAAAAACAAGTGCAATAAACTAAAAAAAATTAAAAAAATCGAATCGACGAAGAGAATAGTAATGTTATTATTAATTTTAGGGTAAATTATAATAAGAAAATTAATTTACCAGTCGATATCCTGAGGGATTTCTATAAAAAGGCCATTTCTTCATTATATTAGCTGTATCCTTAGACTTGATAACGTCTAGACGAATTTGCAACAGGCTTTCCAAGTCGGATCAAGTGGGTCCGATGTTAAATTGTCGAATTTGAGGTCTTGAAGGCAGGTCTCAACATATTCTTCCGGTTATAAAAGACGTATATAAAAATAATTAAAATGCCAAATATTAAAAGAACATTCGAATTTACCATAATCAGTTCCATGCCTCGACTTGTTACTATGTTTTTCTTCTTTTTGTTTTTTATCTTCTGAAACATATTTGGAAACCGCTGTTTTAATGAATACCCACACCAGAGATCTCACACAGCGGAATTTGATTTGACAACACAATAAATTAACTACAATACGATAGGACTTTTATTTAAAATATTGAAGAGAACACTTACCGCTCTAATGAAACTAAGGCCTCACTGAATAACTCAACCACACAGACGTTATTAAAGTGCCAAAGTAACCGACCAACATGGCGGACATTTAAGCCCTAATATTTTATTCATGATATTAATAACCGCGTACATTAATATAATGTATTTAGTACATTAATATAATGAATATGTGTTCATTAAAGTTTCAGCATTAAAACAAAGAACGCATTCATTTGGACAATGAACGCGTTCTAAATCAGGCATCGATCTATGATTAACAAATCATTAATATAATGAAAAAAATCATTGTCCCAATGAAAGAACAGTTAATAATCAATGTTCATTAATATTATGAACAATATTTTTTTCAGTGTTTTTTCTTAAAAACGATAAGAAAAATAGTATTAGTATTAATATACTATATCGTTGATACAATGCATACTACTTTTACAAACGTCACAAATAAATTTTTAAATTTCGAACCTCTTTGAAAAAATCGAATGATAATAAGCCAAAAAACTGCAGGTTTATTTTAAAGCGTTTTTCAACGTGACGGAGTCAGTACCTCAAAAGGAAAAACCGGAACCCTTATAAGATCACTTTGTTGTCTGTTCGTCTGTCTGTCTGTCTGACAAGACCCTTTACTTCGGGAACGCGTGGAGATATTGAGTTGAAATTAAAACCATATACTCAGTTATACAGTCCCTTGAAGCTGCGAAAAAATGTCTAAGCAAAAGAGCTTTCTAAGCAAAAAAACTTCTAAGTTAACGAAAAAAAAAGATTAGTCCGTTTTTGCCGCAATCGATCGCCGGGAATCGAATTTTATAGGGTATTTTTCGTTGACCTAGAACTATGAAATTTGACAATACCGTCTTATACAACAAGTATAGGAAAAAATACATTTGTAAATAAATCACAAAAAATAGGGTCTTTATGCAAGGAACGGAATTTTAAATTGAGTTAACAATAGTAATATATTAGTATAGTAATGACAATAGTAAACACTGCTGCGTTAACCAAATGATGATCAACTTGTGAGCAGTAGCTGCATTCAGCAGACGTCCTCGATTAGTAATCGATTACTGATCATGTGCTGAACGCACCTGAAAATTTGACTAATCACCGATTGGTAATCGAAGGCCATTTTTGCAATCGTTAAAACAAAATTATTAGTGTAAAAATTAAAAAACGGTATAAATGAAAACGATATAATTAAATGAAGTAAATAAAAAAGCCAAAAATCACGTCAAAAAATAAATAAAAACTAGGGCTCTCTCCCATTAATCGTAGAATTTAAAGAAAGATATTCAGATTTGCCGATTCCCAATAAGATTCCATCTGCTGAATGCAGCCAGTGTTTCATTAATAAACAAATTTGCCTAACGGACAAAAAAATGCTTGACGTTTCAGGAATTATATCTCTTCCCGTCGTCGGAAGAAAAAAAAACACAAAGAACAAAGAGGAAAACTATTTAAAATATCTAAATACTCTTCAAGAACATTTATTTTTTTCCAACAGATACGTCTTGTGCCAGTATTCGTTATGTTTATTAAAATAAAAAAGCCGATAGCTCTATATTACCAATATTACTAACCTCTACAGCTGCCTGAGCAATACATTTATTTTTATTAGATTATATTAAAAAAGCCTCTTTTATTTTTCGTTTAGAGTCTATCGCTTCTTTCATAATAATTTTGAAAATCTTCTTTTCTTAAATAATCTTTATGTTTTTTAATTCGAACATTTAAGGGTCTATATGTTTCACTAATATATAAAATTTATCACATTCATACGGTATTTTGTATATTACATTTTTTGTTTGTTGTCTAGTGTTCATTGGTTTAGTGGTGGTTTAAAATGAATCTAAGCGTATTTTGTGTTTGAAGGATGTTCGTTTTTTATTTTATTTTTGTATCAAGTTGGTCTCCGTTGGATGAACGCATGCAGGGTTTGCAAAAAATAACTATTTTATTTTTAAATTTTCTTACATTACAAATAGCGAAATAGCCATAATACTTTTTTGGAGAGAAGAATCCGCCACAGAAGTATAGACATTTCTTAAACTGATTTTTATTTTTTTATGATTTATAATTTTCGATTTATGACGAAGAATGAAAAAAAACTACTGCATGTACCAGATGTAGCTAAAAATTTGTACGGAACCCTCAGTGGGCGAGCCCGACTTGCACTTGTCCCTTTTTTATATCTTGGATATCTTCATTTTGTACACTCTGGTGTATCTATTTATTTTACCTATTTGTCTGATCTTCTTACTTTATGACCGACCCCAAAGAGTCTAAATCCGGCTGCACTACTCCAAACGCATCAACTTCGGGCACCGTCCGTGATAAATCATTTCCTACACGTCGATTTGGCGCTAGAATAGCGTCGGGGGTGCATGTCGTCGCCGACACGACCCGCTTTAATTCGAATCGGCACGTGCAAATACCCGAATAATTGAAAAGTTGGCCGGGCCAGTTCATTTTGCGGCGCGGGCCGTGATTGATGACCGCCATTTCCAACGCTTAATGAAAAGTTTAACATAATAATAAACGGAAAATATACATCGCTGTCGGTCGTATAAGCGACGGGGAGTTTATCGAATGGCTAGTGAAATATGACAACGTTGGTCGGGATGAAAAATAAGTATCGAAAGAATACTGTTGTTATAAGGTGATTTTTTTCACAGTTAACCCGCCCATGAATTTTTATTTAGTGCTGCTTTTAAACTTCAGTTTCAGTTTCGACTGCCAGAGTCGACTCTACAGGGTGGTCCGAAATGTATTTCGTAAACTTCGGCTGCATATTCTCCAAATAAAAATAAGTAAAAAGGTTCGTATTAATGTTTGTCCTAAAATGCTTAGTTTCGGAAATACAGGGTGTAGAAGTTTCATTTTTATTTCGATTTTTTACAAATAATTTCTGAAGAAACGTCAATATTTGGATGAAAATTGGTGTCTGGGAGTTTTTTGACATGATAAAATTTAATTTTGATGTCAATATGACTTCTACTTGTAGAGGGCGCCACTTACATATTCTTTAACTTGTTTGAAGAGCAATAACTTTTCGTCCGTACTTGTATAAAACTACTGAGCAAAATATACATTTACGACGTTTTTTACGTAAAAATAATCTCTTGTTAAAAATCGCTACGAGTAATGGTTCTCGAGATATTTGGAATCGAAATTATCAATACCTGTCACCATTGTCAAATTAAATATGTTGACTAAATAGTTATTACATTGAAATCATAAATTTGAAATGTTTTTGTGCAAAAAGTTCAATTGAAACTGTTTTATGATCATTTTTCATAGAAAACTTTATGATTAATTTAGAAACAAAAAAAAAGTTCCCAAATTTATCATTTCAGTCAAATAACTATACTATCTACTCGACATGTTTATTGTTTGTCAATAACGACATGTTGGCATTTCCATTGACTATTTCCATTCTAAATACTTGATAACGGTTGCTCGTAGCGATTTTTATCAAGATACATTTTTTACGTAAAGAATCATGGAAATGGATATTTTTTCACTCATCAGTTTTATACAGGTACGGACGAAAAGTTATTACTCTACAAAACGGTTAAAACACATGTAGGTGGCGCCCCCTACAAATAGGAGTCATATTGACATGAAAATCAAATTTCTAATATCAAATAACTCACAAATACCAATTTTCATCCAAATATTGATGTTATTTCAGAAATTATTTGGAAAAAATCAAAATAAAAATGGAATTTTTAGACCCTGTATCTCCGAAACTAAGCATTTTAGAACATACATTTATATGAACTTTTTTACTTATTTTTATCTGCAGAATATGCTGCCAAAGTTTCGGGAATACAGTTCGGACCATCCTGTATATCCCGCTCCATATCAGCGACACCTTGACGCAAGTATTGAGTGGTCGGTTGATGTCGATATAAAAGGATATTTTTCCTAATAAAATATAACCTAGATACAAAATTTATAGAATTAAACTACATTAATTATTATGTACCAAAATTGGGAGACAATCGAGTAAATATAGCAGAATAAATTAAAGCACTGATTTAAGATCAAAACAGAAACTAAACCAATAACCCAAATTCGCTTAACTATTACTTACCATATCGGTTAAATAATCTCTTGCCATTAAATTATATTAAAATTACGGAAATATTTTAGACTTATCCATATCTAAACTAATTATATTGTTTCAGGTGTGGTTCAAAAACCGGAGAGCCAAATGGAGGAAACGCGAACGCAACGCAATGAACGCCATGAACGCGGCGGCCGACTTCAAAACCGGCTTCAGCACCCAATTCAACGGACTCATGCCCACCATCAGTGACGACAGCTTCTACTCCTACTCCACCTACAACAACTGGGCAGCCAAAGTCCCCAGTCCCCTCAGCACCAAGCCCTTCTGGCCAGTGGTACCATCCAACCACCACCAAAGCCCTGTAAACTGTTTCAATTCTGCCACATCAGTTGCTGCTGCCTCTATGGGTGGTGCAGCTAGTTCCATGTTGCCCGGAGCTATGGGTACGGGACTTACGAGCACACCCGGAGCAGTTTCAGCTCAACCCTGTCCTTATACGACTCCAGCTAATCCTTATAGTATGTATCATCACCGATCAGCTGCGGAACCTTGTACGGCAATGTCATCCAGTATAGCCTCGCTGAGGCTGAAAGCGAAACAGCACACGGGATTCGTGGGTTATTCGAGTGTGAGTCCTGTGAGGTCATCTTCGGCAGGATTGCAGGCCTGTCAATATGCAGGAAGTGGGATAGGAGTGGGGGAGAGGCCTGGCTGAGACGAGGAAGAGGCCCTTGGGGGCCATCAGCTCAAACACGAGGACCAGGACGATTGATAAATAATGTCTGTTGATTTATTTTGTTGAGTGATTAGTCGGAGTTCGTGATATATAAGAACGGCTCGATCATGGATTTTTTCGGTTTCTGTCGTTCGAGTTCAAGCTTTAAAAAACAATCGGACTTCAGGTCCAGTTCAGTAACAAAAATTGGAATTTTTGTGAGTTTAGAAAGAAAACTGAGTATCTAATCAATGAGGAACACATGAGGAACATAATGAATATATTAACAATTTACGCTAATCGTACAGATATTCATAAAAATACGAAGTTTTTTATTTAATATATTCTTACGCAAATTATCACAAGAAGTTGGTAAAACAATATTAAGGTACGTCCACAGTTTTTACCATCTTAACCATCTTAACCATCTTAAGTTAAAATCGATTAATTTTTAATAATTTTGTAGTAAAAATAAGTAAATAGTTTGAATTGTACAGAAGACCTTTATTGGAAGCTTAAAAATGGGCCGAGATGGTTACATTAAGTTTGGGGGAGCAGGTGAGTTGAATTGGTTTCAAAAGGGGTAGCTGTGATAAAACTGTTGAGCGGGTGAAGTAGGCAAGCGACAAAAGGAAAGAATTATTCATTCCGGTAAAAGCAGTTTAAGGGTTGATTCTCACTATGCCTTCCGTATCATCTACCTTCCGTTTACATAAAATATTATACCGTATGATCGAGAAAAAACGGCGTCAACGATGGCTATGAAGTGAAGATCGCTGTCATTTTATATGTAAAATTATATGGGAAATGTCATCGATCGTCATGTCCCAGCCAACTGGACGCCGTTTTTTTTCGATCATACGGTATCATGTAAATGAATAGAACAAACAATGCACACTATCCGTTCCGTTTCCTTTCCGTTCCATATCCTTTTCTTCCATACATTTTTTGGCGGACGGACTGAGGCGTATCGGAAACAGTGTTGTCAAGTTCTTACATTTGTACCAGCTCTGTTAACATTTTGCTGATATTTATTTATTATTTCACCTCTTAATAAAATCCATTACCTTTTTCAAAAGATACAAATTTTTAAAATAAAACTTTCGTAATGATATAAATTGTACAATAAAAAGTATGGAACTGATACGGAACGGATATGGAATGGAAACGGAAGGTAGAGTGAGAATCAATTTTGCTGGTTAGCGCTGGTTGATTGGTGTACTATAGCCACGCTCATAATATTGTTCCTCTATTTTTCACCGCTAACTAGCCGCAATATAGCGAGAAGGGGAAGCCGGTGCACTATGGACGTACCCTTTCGCAGTAAAACCAACGTTTACAGAATGTGTCAACTTTGCTATAACTGAATGAAATATTTTTATATTGCAAATTTACTCAGTTTTCTTTCAGATCCTAAAACATTTCCACAATCTTATCAACATATCTGTCGATTTACAAAAAAATATATAAACAAATTCAAAATATGGTAAATGGCCTTCTATTTTTATTTATTTATAAATATAGTGATTTAAAATACAAACACGTCTTAAATATTGATAATCAATAAATTGTCCTATATTTTTATTGAAATAATACTAATTCACACTATTTATCACAATACATTAAAACACTATTTTAAACTTAACCTAAGTTTTAAGCATCTTCTGATGATGATTAGTTAAACATGCTTCAAAAGTTTGAAATTGAGTATTCTAGTGTATTATAGTAAATAGTATTATTTCACTAAAATTACTGTATTACTTTTGCTAAAAATTATAAGAAAATAACCAAAAAAACACGTACCTGACGTTATCAGTAGGTAATTTACCCAAACTATGTTACTTTATTTTAAAAATAAATGTACTTACTTACATATCACTAACACAATCAATATTTAATTTTCATACAGAAACACATATTTTGAATTTGTATACTTGTTTAAATGTGATATCTAAATTAAAAATCAGATTTTATCTATATCGTTTTTTTTTTATCCAATTTAGCAGACAAAAAAATATCAAAATTAACCTATCTGATGTTTAAATTCAAATTATCATTTATAATTTACTTCGTAATAAACGAATCAAAAATATTCAAAATATTTTTGATCTAATATTACTCGAACAAACTGTATATTTTGTACAAATTTACTGTTCACTGTCATCTTGTAATATAGAAAAATGTAATTATAGTTATAACAAGCTAGCGAAAATAATAATAGAATCATGAAAAAAAATGATTCCGTTAATTTGTAAATTTTGAAAATATTGATGTACTTATAATTTTTTCATTCTTACAAAAAAAAATACTTACATAAGTTTTTACTTGTACTTGAAAATTGGTAATATAGCTACAGAGTCTTTCAAAAATTATTACTATCTACTTGAAACTTAAAACTTATCCACAAACTTGGATATAGTTTTCTTTGCAAGACACTGTAGATACAGTAGATTGAAATATATGAAATTTTGAACTGGTAAGTTTCATTCAGAACCTCGCAATGAGTAGAATAAATTAATGGTTTCAATTACACTTTACACTTTTTAGTTTACGATCATTCACAATGTTTAAGAAACACAATTAAAATTAATAGCATATCCTAGCAACAGCTTGGGTTAGTCAGTTGTATCCATAGAGAAAGCCTAATATTTAGCTTACAAAACAATCAACTTTTGATTTCTAACCACAATTTTTCTTAACGGATGATAATCAAAGGTGAAAATGACATTCCTCGTAAATTTGGAAGTACAATTAGTGGAAAAGTCATAAGTTTGTTAACTTTTTCTACTAATTGAAAAAGATTACCACTAATTTTGACGTTCTGAATGCTTATATTGAAATTAAATGAATAAACTTATACGCTAATTGAAACCACTAATTTATTCCACTAATTGCGAGGTTCTGAATGAAACTGTAGTCTAAAATATTTCAAAAAGTACAAAATCATGCCAAATATTAAATATTTTGCCAAATTTCTTCATTGCCAATAAATCGTTGTTAACAGTTTTAAGTATTTTAGTATTAAGTTTAGTAAAATTGTTTTGTTTAAATATAATTATAGATATTTTAATTTTTTTTAATGTCAAACATTTACCATACAATCGTATTAGATCATATTGTAAACTACCAACCAAATTACTTTATAATTATATCAACATTAAAGGTTGCAATAAGGTTATACAATAAATCTAATATGATTATATAGTATTAGTGCAATTTTTTTAATAGTAATTTGGTCATCTTTGTACTGATCAGTAAGATTTAAAATTTTTAAATTTATTTTTAAAATATATGGATTCAAGAAAAGCATTACTACATCCATCGTTCCTAAATACTTTTAAAGCTTTCTAATTGTTTAAGAAGGCTGTTTCGTGCAATTTTTCATTATATAAGATAGAAGAAAATCAATCCATTGACAATATTGGTATTTTCTTATCATGAAATACAATTTTCTCTTGAAGATTCTTTTTATTGTATCGAGTGAAAGTATTTGTTGATGTAAAATAAGTATAAATTGTATAGTTGTACACAAACGGTAAAATGAAATATTGTAACTATATTCCCACAAGAAATATACTCTGTGCATATCGCCTATATAACAAATTCTTGTTCAACATTTTCAGCCATCTAGTCAAAATAAAAAGTATTCGTAATTTTACATATTTGATTTATTACTTACCCTTATTTATCCTCTCCCATGATAAAGATTCAAAATAATTAAAAAAGTATTGTTTTGAGTTTAAATAAAATACAGAAAAGATACAGCATACCTGGTTTAAAATTCCGGAAGTAGTAATAAGCGAGACTGCTCTTGGTCTTGAACAAAAAGTGAGACCGATACAAGGCCGATACTAAGACCAGGGTTAGATGAGCAAGACTAAGACCTACCAGTGCAAAACTTCCGCAAGACAAAGACCAAGCATGAAAGACTCTTGCGGTTCAATCTTACATTTTTTCACATTTATATGATTAAGAAATTAAAACGTTCTATCCTTTTTAATCTTTCTATATAATTAGTGTTAATTTTTGATAAGTTTTATGTCAATTTTTATAAATTGAAGTCTATATATTGACTTCGCTAAAATGATTTTAATCATCATTCCCCAGACGTCTTTGACTCCGTTTTTTTCGATCCTACGGTATAATTAGTGTACCATAAATAGTTTAGGTTGCATGATGATGATAATTTTATTTATGTTAGGTACACTTTATTACGATCAAATAATGACGTCATTTTTAGCATGAATACTAAGTATATACCTATTGTTAATCTAAGGTATATACTTTATGTACTGTTCAATTTGCGAAGTTTGAAACTTTCGTCATCATTTTCGGCGCCATATTGGTTTTCACGTATTTCCTGACTTGATCCATGAATTGTTTATATATGGTTATATAGTCTGTAAAACGAATAACTTTGAATTTGACAGTTTCTGCGGGCTTTTCTAGTGTTAATTTTATTAGGTTAGCAACTTGCGGCCATGCTAAGGTAATGCGGTCTCTAATAGAACAGCCTCAGAGCGATATTTATGACGTCACGCTAGTTAGATACTACGGATTAATAAATATGTTGTAGAATACATGGAAAACATAATTATTCCTCGTATTTTTGGTTTGTATTTTAAAAATGATATAGTTTACATGAAATATACATAATATACAGTTAATAAGTAAAGTACAATATATATATATATATATATATATATATATATATATATATATATATATATATATATATATATATATAACTAGTATATATATACCTATTTCATAGTAATAAATACTTTTGGCAGATAAACTATAAACCATACAAATACAGCAAATATACATAATATACTGAAATCGTACAATATAGTATATGTATATATATGTATATATATATATATATATATATATATATATATATATATATATATATATATATATATATATATATATATATATATATATACCTATTTATAGTAATAAATATTTGGCAGATAAACTATAAACCATACAAATGCAGCAAATGTTCTACAATATGGCTGAAATCGTACTCCATAGTCAATGTAGATAGTTGTTGTGTTAAGAATAATAATTTAAAAAAATATGTGGTCATCTTTTGAAGTTTATATTAGTTTATTAATTGCAGTAAACATTATAATATATAAATAAATTTTGTGATTGCAAATAATAATACATCACTCCTAGTAGATATTGAATGTTTTTTTATTAAATTAGATCGATTTTCAAACCACAAAATTTAAAATATATTTTACATTTTACCCATTATCTTATGTACCATCATGTATTCATTAATTGTATATTGTAAAACATTTGTGCTGTATTTGTATGGTTCATAGTTTATTTGGCAAAGAATTTATTACTATAAATAGGTATATATTATATTTTATTTATTAACTTTATATTATGTATATTTCATGTAAACTATATCATTTTTAAAATACAAACCAAAAATACGAGGAATAATTATATTTTCCATGTATTCTACAACATATTTATTAATCCGTAGTATCTAACTAGCGTGACGTCATAAATATCGCTCCGTGGCTGTTCTATTAGAGACGGCATTGGTCTAATATTTAGAAATGTCAAAAGCTGATGACATTTTACTTTTGTCAATTATGACATTTTGTGTTGATTTTTGCAAGAAGAGGAAGAACTGTCACTTGTTTTATTATTTTCCTTTTCTATTTCACGAAAGTAAAAAGAGTTACCTATCTGATTCGTTCAGGCACTCAATTTAAAGAATATCAGTAACTTTTTTGAT